TCAGGTTTTGTCCAAGTTTTGCAATATTATTATCAGAGAGGTTGTCTCTACAGACTTAGAGCACTTGGTGAGAAAGGCAATATGGACATAACAAGTGGTAAGTTGTACGCATTGTAAAGTGCTAAGTCTCTTGTACTTCCCAAAACTTGTTTAATAAACTGGATAATAATAAGAATAGTAGTGTATATCAGTTGTGCTTCTTCACACAGAAATATCTTGATCAGAGAAATTATAGCAAACCCTTCACAGTCTTACAATGCATTGCTCCTGGAGCTGCTGTAATTGCTTAAGATAGTGACACAAATTGGCATCAAATTTTACATTAAACTTGTCAAAGATCAGTGAAAATAAATTCCATTATTAACGTGTTCCCCCCATGATCCACCCCTACAAAATTCAGTGGAACAGGTTGAATGACAACAGCCACAAATTATAATCTGACATTATACTAGTGTAAGTTAGAAGTGATCTACATCTCTGAAAGACAAAAACTTAAAATTGAGCAAGCTTTACAAACGCAACTGTAAAAACACAATACATGTACTCGGTTCCCTTGAAATTTATACTTATTTGTCACCGAGTGGTCAAAAAAATAACCTAAACGCCCTGAGTTGGTCAGATAAGGAGATGTGCTTAAGGCACCATTACCCCATACATCTCTGATCAAATTAAAATCTAGTCCATATTTTCTGATAAAACAGCGACATTGGTAGTATGTCACCTTATAACCCATTGAAGTCTGAAGGTTTTGATAACTGATATATACTTTGTATTATTATTTTCTAGAGGGTTTTCAAACCTGGATGTGGAGAGGGTTGACTTTCCTGATTCCATTCTTATTTCTAGGACATGTAAGTATTTAGTGCTTGTTACAAGCATTACTGAATGCATACCATATTACAAGAATGCATGATATTGTTTTTGATCCAATTCTCATAAATATTATAACATCTTTCTGTAGAACAATCATTTCACACTCTATGTTGGCACTACGATGAAATAGGGTACACCAAGGTACAAATAGAATTTGCTAAATATGTGCAACGATTGCTAATTAATATGCACATATTTTGAAATTTAATCTCATGGTTTTTGTTTACTGAAATCGTGGAAACGGCTCCTTACAGACCAACATTTGTATTTTGTATAACCATTAATCTCAAAGTTACAGAATAAACAAACTTCCTTTTTCTCAGTTCTTTCAGTTATACAATGCTTACACGTTATATAGACTATCGTACCATGAAGATTGCTTTGAATGGCAGGTATGTAGCACTGACTTTGAATAAAAACTGTGTTCATATAATGTGGTTACGAATGTTGTATACGAGATGGACAAACTTCCCTTTCTGTGAACAAAAAAACAAACTAACCAGCAGTATTGCAATATACATGTAGCTCACTGTTTTGAAAAATAATTATAGCAATATTGATTATAGCTTACAATTACAAACTTACGTTTGAACTATCGATGTTGATAATGTTTGCAAAACAGTGAGTCATATTGCAATACTGCTGGTTGGGTTGCTTTTTTGATCACAGTAATATTGTCCTTTCAGAATCAGTCTTGGACAGTGATTATTGTGACAGTAGGCATACAAATTTTGTGTAATTTCCAATTTTCATCAAAATGTGCTCATTTTGCTATGCATGATGGTGCCAATATTGAACCAACAACAGCTGCAACCACTGTTCTTTAAAAATACATGTACTATCAATAATGTAAAAGTAATCATGATAGTTTAATTTCAAAACACTGCATTGCACATCCTCTTTAGTTTTACTAGTCCTCTATGAAAAGGAAATATATGGAATTGTTTTTGTTATTAGTGTTTACCTCATTATTACAAAAACAGAATTCAAACCATAATAAGTGCAAACATGATCGGATCGATCAGTGTATGTATTTCAATGAAAGTTCACTAATATATTTGTATGGATACTGTGTCTATGTTTCATATCTGTCTGCTAGTAAACAAAGAACATTCAACTACCCTAAAAAGGGAAATTTACGTATTTGTCACTTGTTACATCAGGCACAAAAAACTGATCATGAAAACTGCTATCTTCCCATCAGTTTCCCTGCGACCATTGCAAGATATTTTGGTTGTTATCAAAAGTATTTTACAAGGGATGTTTGAAATTAAATAGCCCGCTTGTGATCGCAATAATTCATGTGTTTGAAGTATAGAATGCCCCTATGAAGCAAATATTAACCATTTTAGTAATATTTAATGCAATTCCTTTGCCCAAAATCTGATTGAAAATTTTCTTTTCACAGGTTCCTGCCTCAGGATTTGTGTTTCTCCTTCTCTTTCTTGGAAACTTCATCACAACACTACTTGTAATTCAGCACAAAATTTCTAAAACCATTAACCAGCAATCCAATAAAAAACTTTGATTGTGTAATTGTTGGTTGAGGCAACATGCAAGCACTTTCTACACAATTTTTAGGTGAAAAAATATTTCCAGAGAAAATGGTATATTTTTTATGGGTGTGGTAATATTGCATCCTCACTCTATTTTGGGGAAATAATAACTTTGTATGTAGATATGGGTCTGAAGTTGTACTTGTTTTATTATCATGTGTTTTTACTTCCATGCAAACTGTAACTGTAATGTAAGACTTGCTCAGACTTTTCCTGCTTGTATTCATTGCTACTATGTACAATGTATCTGTGGTTGACTTTGAATTAATAAAACAAAGACAATACATCCAGTTATTACATTCACCAAGAATTCTGTATTTTTCCTATCTAACTAAATTCCACTGTGAGCCAAAATGGCCCATCTATAATGAAATGTAATTTTACTTTCTAAAATTCAAATTGATTTGTCAAATATTGGTTCCCACAAGTTCAAATCATAAAGGATTGTGGGTAATTTATAGTGCTGCATAGACTATATCGCAAACTTGCACTTGTGTGTAGAGCATACTGGGAATAATACACAATAGTTAACGTAACTCCAACAGTATCCATTCCTACAACAGTATGGATACATAATGCCAATCAAAATAAGTACGGTAAAATGCTTGATTTTAGCTGGAATTAATTTTCGCCAAAAAGACTTTGGGTATTTTGTATGGAATTTATTTTCACTGATTTTTGAAAAGTTTAATGTAAAATATAGGAAAAAAGGTATATTCGCTGGATTTTATTTTTTCAGTGAAAATTAATTCCAAGCAAGTATTCTGAAGTAAGCACTAATATTTATCTCTAAATATTAATTTGAAAACCACGCCGAGAACTTTTGAGGTAATGGTTACCCAAATCTATGACATCGTCATTTGACCATGGACCTTTAAAACTGGTAACATGTCATCTCAATCACATTAATTGTGAAATGATGCAATAAAACAATGGTTACCTTAATCTATGACATCATTTGATCGCGGACCTTTAAAACTGGTAACATGTCATCTCAATCACATTAATTGTGAAATGATGCAATAAAACAATGGTTACCTTAATCTATGACATCATTTGATCGCGGACCTTTAAAACTGGTAACATGTCATCTCAATCACATTAATTGTGAAATGATGCAGTAAAACAATGGTTACCTTAATCTATGACATCATTTAATCGCGGACCTTTAAAACTGGTAACATGTCATCTCAATTGCAGTAAAACAATGGTTACCCCAATCTACGACATCATTTGACCGTGAACCGTTAAAACTGGTAACATGTCATCTCAATCACATCAATTGCAAAATAATGCAGTAACACAATGCCTGATGACCCCATTTTATGCTATCTTTCGTGGCTCTCATCTGGCGCTTAGTTATTGAGACCATATTTAATAGATATAGCCATGGACAATTGCATTTCTATCAAAATTACAAGCCAAAGGGTATATATTTTGTATATCAATGCGTTTTCAGCAAAATTCAAAGTGGCTCCAAACAACAATGGCCATTTCCAAAATGTCCCAAATTTATAATAGCCTACACAATGGAGCCATATCTCATACATGTTTGTTTATAGTATGGATATTGCCTCGGTAGACAAAACTGACAAAACAAGTAATTTTTTTAGTATGTGGATTTTTGAAGTTACTTTTTACATTTTTCACAAGAAGTGACTCTATAAATACTATTAAATTGCGATACTTATTTGTTTGCGATTCCACGAAAATGTTTACTTTTAAAAGTGTGATTTTCAACACGCAGTGTGATGTTTACTGTTTGAAGGGACCGTAAGTATCCAAATGATGCAACAATAGATGTATCAAATATTTTCAATTGCAAAGACTAATGTATTAGATGTAACAGTGTTCTCCCAAATAATTTAAACCAGTGTAGTGGTAAAAATTTACATACTAATTTACATACGTTAATTACATAAAAACAAATTATGAGTGACGATTAACATTTATTCACTTGCATACCACTACGGTACATGCAAGATTTCAGTTTTCAACAATTATCAATTTGATTCAAAAAGTCAGTGGAAATACATACACAGTGTGGCGGTACAACATAGCACTGTGGCAGTCCCGCCATGCTGTTTGTATCCTGGGGAAACACTGGATGTAGATAACTGCCTTATTTTATTTACATGACGAATGAATATAAATTTTTTTTAACAAATAACTCGTAAGTTGACTGTATATTGTATTTAAGGTAGCGAGACTATTATTTGTGTTGAAAATTACGATTTTCACATTTATTTATTAATTGATGAAATGCACTATAAACTTTCATGTGATAAAGTCAACATAACATAGAATGTCATGTAAGTTAGTTAAAATGTAGATTTTCTGAAGGGAAGCAAGGCAGCCTCAGTAGTGTTTTCCAAAATCAACAACACAGGTTTAATCTGTGTGCCTATAAGTTT